AAAAAAAAATTTTTTTTTGTTCCAACTGTGTTAATTCAAAAAGCCTGTCTTCTAGTTCAAAAATTCTTTTTTCCACTTGTTCTAGCCTGCCACTTATGCTCTTGGTTGCATTTTTTATTTTGTTGAATGAATTCTTCAGTTCCAGGATTTCTGCTTGATTTTGATTCTTTTCTACTGTTTCTGTCTCTTCACTGAATTTCTCATACATGTCCTGGATCTATCTCCCCCGCCCCCCTCTCTCTCTCTTTCTTTGTTTCTTTCTTTTTAAACTTCATTTCTATTTTTTAAAATCCATTAAGTTGAGTTTCTTTAATATTAACATTGGGATTTCTCTTCAGATGGTTCACCAGTTTCCTATTGTTTGGGGTCTGGCACTGGAGAATCATAGTCTTCTTTGGGAGTTGTCATATTTCCCTGTTTTTTCATGTTTCTTATGTCTCTGCATTGCGGCCTGGGCATCTGGTGGTATAGTTGCTTCTTTTGATTTTTAGAGTGGTTTTTGAGGGGAGAAACTTATATCTGTAAAAGTGTTTTATGTTGATAGTTGGGTTGGGCTACATAGGTTTGGATCTTGGCAGGCAAAGTAGTAATGCCGGCTTGCTCCTCACATCTTCTCTGCTGTTAGGGGCAGGCAGGCTGCTGTGTCAAATGGGACATGGGGATCCCAGGGAAAGTGATGTGGATCTAGATAGCTTGTATACCCTCAGCGTGCTCTTTGCTCGTGGTGGTAGGCTCGCTGCATCAGAAGACCCCTGAGCCTCCCAGAGGAGCAAGGCATGGATCAAGACAACCAGTGTAAGGGGCCTGGTGCAGCTTCAGCTCACTGTCCACTGGAGCCAGCATGGGGCATTGAGTTGGGTGGGGTTATGAGCTCCCAGAGAAAGGAGAGCTGGATGGATCCAGATGACAAGTGTGTTCCTCCTACTCTCAACTGGCATGGGCAGTTCCCCTATGTCAAGTGGGGCTCTGTGCTTCAGGAAGAAGAAGGGTGTGTATCCAGGCAGCCAGCACACTCCCCTCTGCTGGTGTGTGCAGAGCCACTGGGTCAGTGGAACTCTGGGCTCCCCTGGCTCCTATCCAATAATGGAAATGTCCAGCTGCAACCTAGGACCAAGGGTTGTGAGGGTGACCCCATGTGTAGTGCTCCTCTGGGAAAATACAGTCTTGTGGGCTCTTAGCCACTCCACACACTGGGCATGTGGTTACCCTGCAGCCTAGTTTGCAGGTGTCTAAGGTGGGAGGGCTGGCAGCTGGTGCCTACATTGTCCTGGCAGTAAAGGGTTCCTTGAGTCTCCATGCCAGTCCTGGTTGGGAGTTTCTCCTGTCCTCCTATGCTGTCTCAAGTTTTCAGGTTTTGGTGGGGGGGGTTTCCTCACTGTTTAGCTGGATCCCATAGTTTTTACTAGGCACTCTACTCTTCGGGTGACTATCTATTTGTTGCTTTTGCCTTTTTTGCATTAGAGGCAAGGGCTGGCTCCCTGTAGTCTGCCACCTTGCTGAGAAAAAAAAGGGGGGGGGATTAAATTTCAACATGAATTTTGGAGGGACAAAATACTCAAACTATAGCAATATTATTCTGCAGGGTTTTTTTTTTTTTTTTTGGTGTGACATATTTTTGTTTTTCATTCACATTGATAAACGTGGCTCTATTTTA